CTATATGGACTCAAACAGTCACCGAAAGCATGGTTTGATAGATTCGCAAAAATGCTAAAGAGTCAAGGATATCGACAAGGACAGTCAGATCATATTATGTTTTACCAACATTTTAATGATGGGACTAAGACAATCTTAATTGTTTATGTTGATGATATCATTCTAACAGGAGACAATGTGGCAGAAATTGAAAGACTAAAGAAATGCCTTTCCGCTGAATTCGAGGTGAAGGATCTGGGACAAATGCGATACTTCTTAGGAATGGAGGTGGCAAGATCAAAAAATGGAATCAGTGTTTCACAACGAAAATATGTTATTGACCTCTTAACCGAAANTCTGGGACAAATGCGATACTTCTTAGGAATGGAGGTGGCAAGATCAAAAAATGGAATCAGTGTTTCACAACGATAGTATGTTATTGACCTCTTAACCGAAACTGGGATGCTAGGTTGTAAGCCTAGTGATACACCCATCGAAGCAGGAAAAAGAGCTGAAGAGGATGGAAAAGAGGTAGAAATAGATGGATACCAAAGGTTGGTTGGGAAGTTAATATATTTGTCACACACTAGACCAGATATTGCATTCGCAGTTAGCCGCGTGAGTCAATATATGCACTCACCAAAGGAAAGTCACCTAGAAGCAGTCTACAAAATACTACGATACCTCAAGGAATCCCTAGGAAAGGGACTGTTTTTTAAAAGGGGTGAAAGAAAGGAGATTGAAGTCTTCACAGATGCAGATGGGGCAGGTTCAATAGAAGATAGAAGATCAACTACTGGTTACTGTACCTATGTGTGGGGAAATCTTGTAACTTGGAGAAGTAAAAAACAAAATGTAGTTGCCAGAAGTAGTGCTGAGGCCGAGTTCAGAGCAGTAGCACAAGGAATATGTGAAGGGTTGTGGTTGAGAAAGCTTTTGGAGGAATTACACGTTAAAACAGAGTTCCCCATTAAGATTTATTGTGATAACAAGGCAGCAATCAGCATCTCTCTTAATTCAGTCCAACATGATCGTACCAAACATATAGAGGTTGACAGACACTTCATAAAAGAAAAGGTTGAGGAAGGAATCATTTGCATGACTTATGTTCCCACATAAGAGCAAGTTGCTGATATTTTTACCAAGGGGCTAGCTCGACCAAGCTTCAATGATTTCATAGGCAAGTTGGACATGATTAACATCTATGATCCAACTTGAGGGGGAAAGTAGAAATCCCATGTATTATGGGATATTATTGTGTAATTGATTATGTACCTTACTTAGATTAGAAAA